ATTATAGTTAGTATGAACACAATGTTCAGCTCCAAGGTGGTTTATTGGCTCCCTGGGAGCCCAAGAGAAAAATGTTGCTGCAGAACCATCAGACCACATCCAGCCACCTTCCTTATGGATATCACTGAGTCCGATCCATGTGCGTCCTTCAGCAGTGTCAAAGTTCTTGATCAGAGATTTAACAAAATCATACTCTGCAGAGCTGTGGACAGAGACCAGGTTGGCTCCTTCTGATACACAGTGGAGCTCTGCTTCAGCCCAGGTCATCCGTGTGGCGACGTACTTGTAGCAGCGGCCATTGAAGCTGTACCAGGACATGGGGCAGGTGCCACGCTCCAGCCTTATTTCTGGTTCAGATGAGGTTGACACTGAACCCAGAGCTAAAGCAAACAATATGAGGAACAGGATCATGATTTCAGTTTAATCTGCTTTGCTTGGTAGGACTGGAATTTGAAACAGGCTCTTATAAAGCCTCAAAAATTTGTATCTGCCCTCTTGAAGGGTTTTGATTGGTTAAAAACATTAAGCAAATATTTGCTTTTGTGACACTGAACATACACACCTACAAACAAAACCAAATGCTTTTGAATAACTTAAAAAAATTTCATAGTCTATATTCAAATGAAATTATTTTTAGCCTTCAAGTTTTTTATGTAAAACAGATCATTGATGTTAAATTAAAGATCACACATGGCAAAAAAAAATATTGCATACAGTGTCTAGTTAAAATTATTTATACTTATTGAAGATTTTACTTTTAAAGACATTATATTCACAGTGATCTTTTATGGCTTGTTATGTTACAGTCTTATTAAATATTGCACAATTAATTCAAAAGAGAAAATGGTGCACCACTCAGATTTTTTTTAGCAAAAAAAAAAAAAATCTGAAAATTAAGTTGTCTGTAAATAATCTCACTGAGTCAATATTTTATATAACCACCGTTTGCTGTAGTTACAGCTCATACATCTTTTAAAATATCTCTACCATTTTCTGACTTAATTCTTTAACATTTATTCCCTTGTTGAATATCTAAAAATCAGTTGGTTTGGACAGAGAATATGTCCTTGCTGAAGAAATGAACCCGACAGCTGAACAGTGTTTTGGTTTTGTGATCTGATGTTTTTTTTTAAGGATAATGCATTTATGTGTATATATATAAATATTGATGTATTTCTGTGACCCACAGCATTTTGCATGTAAGGCCAAAAATTATAATCTGGTCAGATCAACTTCTTTATACTTACTGTGGTCCTTGCATTGTGACAAACTGCAACCTGTTCTCAATTTACAATCTAGGCACTTCAGAGTACATGTCAACAGAGATATATATTTTTTTGGAATATTGAAATTAAAAAAGAATTTTAAAATGAATAATTAGCACATTGTTTAGATTAGTTAGTTTTTTTGTCAAAAAAAGAATGTATTAAAATAGTTAAAACACAGATGAAGAAAAAGTTCAGCTTGTTAAAAATACTTTGTTGCATTATCTTCTTCAAGCATCACAACAAACCA